CCTGGCCTTGGACACTCCCAGGGATCCAGGGGCAGCCACAGCTTCTCTGGGAAATCCATTCCAGGGCCTCCCCACCCTCCCAGGGAAGAATTCCTCCTCAATATCCCACCTAAACCTGGGGATGGGGCTCTGACCAGCCATTTACACTTGCTCTTGATCCCAAAAGCAGCTCCTCCTCCTTTGGAAAAGTGCTCTGAGTCCTTACTCAAGGGAATAAGGAATCATGGGCAGGGATGAGAAACCCTGTCAGCCTTCCACGGGGGAGCCTGCACGTTGTGCAGCCTCCAAACCAGCATCCCAGGGGCTGTGACTGATGGAAATTCCATCATTAACAACCAAGACATCGGATTTTCCCGTGCAACAATCATCTCTGCTCCAGCCTCACACGTCCCTGGTGAGGATGCTCTGCAGCTCCAGGTGCCACTGGGGTTTAATCTCCCTGGAATCAGCTGTTCCAGCCACTCCCAGGGATTCTCTTCGAGGCCCCCTCGGCTCGGGCTGGGGAGGTTTTGCACTTCTGGGTGCAAAGAGACTCCTGCAGAATTAAATTGCCCCTTTATGTGATTGGATATATTTATTTTCAATAAATATCAGGCTGGGGGGAAGCTCAGCACGATGCCTGGGAGGGAAAAACCAGGAAGGTCCCTGCTGGGTGAGGGGCTCTGGAGCACAAGGACCAGCCGGGGGGGATTTTAGAGCAGGGGGAGCAGTGTCCAGCCTTGGTGTCTGGGAGCTGGAGTCAACCAAACCCTCCCTGAAATAAAACCTGACCTGGCAATTAATCACGGGATCCGTCCCCAAAGGTCAGGTGGCTGCTGTTTTGAAAACAGCCCAACTCCATCCCCGGGCAGCCGAGCCCGAGCCGGAATTACCGGGTGAATTTCTATGGCCATCATTAAGCAAAATGTCAGCTTGGGTGTGGGAAATGGCACCTCTTGGCCTCAGAAATGACGGATTTGTGCAATCTAAAACAATTGTGCTCAGGTCAAGCCGACCTCCTCCGGCTCCAGGCGCCGCAGCCCGTGGTCAGTCCCCCCCTGGTTTTCCCGTGGAGGGGGAAAAGCAAAAGGAGGAGAAAATTCTGGAGCTCTGCTGAAATTCTGTCACCTGTGGCAGAGAGTGGTGACAGCAGAGCCGTAAATGGGAGGCAGAACAGCAGCCAGCTGCCAGAGGACTCCGTGCTCAGGGAATTCCAGGCACGGCTGGAGAGAGAGAAATTCGGGATAACAATGGAGCGGCTCCGGCTCCGTGTGCAGGGAGCAGGGGAGAGGCTCAGCAGCCAGGAAACAAATCTCTGTCTGTTCTTAATGAACCAGGAGAGCAGGAGAGGCTGGAAGCAGCTCCCTGCATGGCCAAGGTGATGCCTCTGATGCTCCTGACACGGAAAGGAGCTGGAATTCCTCCCCAAAGCCTCGGGAGCTCCGAGTGAGCTCCGAGTGAGCTCCGTGCTCGGGGCTGACGCATAAATTGGGTTTGGGTGGGTTTAATATCAGCTTTATATCAACTGTGGGGTTGTGTGAGGGGTGCAAACACCCTGCAGAGCCACTTGTTCCAAAGGGAATGGGTGGGAAGAGCAGCAGCATCGGGGAAGTGGCACAACCAGGATAACTCTCCAGGCTGGGATGAAAATCCAGCTTTCCAGGGCCTGGTTTTAGCAACACCTTCCCAAAGCCACCCGAGTGCTCACAGGTGGTTCCCATATGCAGAGGAATAATAAAGAGAGGTAGTAAAGTGTCAGTTTGTGCCTCTGGGTCCCAGTCAGGGACAGAAACAGGGCCTTGCACACGTTTGTGCCGCTCACCACCGACCCCAAACCCTCCTGGCACGCAGCACTCCAGGCTGGGAAGCTGAGAAATCCTTTAGCAGGATAAATCGGGCTCTAACTCACCCGGTTCCAGCAGAGGAGGAGGTTAATGCACACAGGGAGATGAAGGTGGGGGGAGCTGTGCAATCCAAAATTGAGAGCTCACAGCCCACCTCTCGCTTCCCGACAGCCCGGGGAGGAATTTCCGTCCCGCTGACAAATCCCGTGTCTCTGTGTGGCACACAAATTATCCCAAATGGCTTTTGGGGAGCCCTGGTGACATGTGCTGAGGCATATTTCCAGGCTGATGGGAGCACTGCAGGGGAAGCTCTTCCCCGGAGGAGAAGCTCTTAAAACTCATGGAAAAATCGGGTGTTGTGCTGGTTTAAAGGTGAACCTGCAGGGGAAATGGACTCAGCTCAGAAGAGAGATTATAAGTCAGAATAACAATTTAATAAAATAACACAATAAATACGATTATACAGACAAACAGTTGGTTTTAACC